TAAATTCAGTTGGTAAGCAATTAAACCCGTAATTACACCCGTAAGCAATTAAAGCCGACTATACCTATTGGTATGGTCGGCTAATAAATATGTTGAGTTGATAGTTATTTGAATAAAATGATAAATTTGGGCACCTTTTATAACTATTTAGTCAACATCTTTAATTTTCACATTTAATTAAAAAAAAATGATAACCGGTATTGATATTTTCGATTCCAAATATCTCGGAAACTATTACACGTAACGATTTTTACCAAGAGACCTTTTTTACGTAAAAAACATCGTAAATGTATATTTTTTACTCAGTAGTTTTATACAGGTACAGACGAAAAGTTATTACTCTTCAAACCAGTTAAAAATTTGTAGGTGGCGCGCTCTACAACTAGGAGTCATATTGACATCAAAATAAAATGGGCGCGTTCAGGGAACACAGCCGCTGACATTCAGCGTAGAATTTCGCTGACCAGCAGCTTACGATATTCCTTAAACGGCACAAAGCAGCAGAAAGAACAAGAAAGTGTACCTGTCTCATGCGCTCTCTGTCTACTATAAAAATTTGAGAGAAATATGAAAAAAAAAATTACTGGCTGATCATTAAATAAATGAAAATATATCATTTGACAATACAATATAAACATTAAATTTCTAAAAAATAACAGTTTATAAATAATTTTACTTATACACCTAAACAACTTAAAATAACAGGAACTGGCACCTTTTACGCATTTTTTTTTCATGGTATGGTACAAATAAAATTACTGAAGGTGTAAATACCCTACAATAAAAAAAAGGACGTCAGTGGTGATGTGGAGGTAAAGATTGCTGTTATTTTATAAGTAAACTTCTATAGGGAATATTATCGATCGTCATTTCTTCGCCAATTGGGGGCAATTTTTTTTCGATCAGACGGTATAATTATAATCAAAGTTATTTATCCTGATTTAGATTTTTTCAGAGTAGTATTTTTTTAATTTCATTGTATTTAGTAAACTCGACTTGAGATGGAAATCAAGTTGAATTTTCTTTATTTCTTTAACTTCTTCGATCTCTATTTACAATTATAGTCTTTTTCGAACGTTTTAGATTCACCTACTGCTCTGTAACTTTTTGGACAACAAATATCTCCTTTTTTTAAGGATTCGATTAACTACGATTAACTATAAACTTCAACAAACCATAAAAAGTAAACAATAAACTAAAGTTATTTTACATTAATTGACCAGAGATAAGGAAATAGATTAAGGCTGACTTGTCTCAGTCTAAATATTTACCGCTGAGAATTTTGCACAGCGGCTGACTGTTACTGTTCGTCAGAATAGACCGTTTAGGGAAATCGCTTACTCAGCCACTCAGCCGCTGACCGTCCCTGAACGCGCCCAATATTTCATGTCAAAAAACTCCCAGACACCAGTTTTTGCCCAAATATTGACGTTACTTCAGAAATTATTTGGAAAAAATCGAAATAAAAATTAAAATTCTACACCCTGTATCTCCGAAACTAAGAATTTTAGGACATACATTTATACGAACTTTTTTACTTACGTTTATGTGTAGAAATGCTGCCGAAGTTTCCGGAGTACAGTTCGGACCACCCTGTATATTCATCTTGATCATTTCCAGCTTTATTCACCCATTTCCAATAATGGTGTAGCCTCGCTTACATATTTAGATAACCTGTTTATATTATTGGGCCCATTGCCGGCTATGCGGGTCCAAATTATCCTTGCTGATTTCCTGATATCATGGTCCCATCTTATAAAATCTAAAGTCTAGTCTAGTCTTCTTCTTCTAAATCTAGTCTTCTTCTAAATCGCCTAATTCCTCGTGGTCATCATATTTTTTTTTGATCCGTTGGTTGTCAGTCATTGCCACTTAAGGGATTTGATTCTGTAGTTGACATCTATTCCCAGAATATTTCGTTGCAGCGAGCGTTGTGCGACCTGCAGTTTCCTTATAATGTAGGATTTAGGGCTCGAACTCACTGACGACCAGGTCGCAACGACCTGGCCGTCGGCTGGCCGGATGTATTGCGTTTTTAGCTGCGGCCAGATGAACGACCAGTTTCAACAGAGTTGTCAAATCTAACGATTTTTTACGTTTTACCAATTAGAAAATATTGTTTCAGAAATGTTAAAATATCCGAGTTAACTAAAAAGCGAAGTTGCTATTCACAACAAACAAAAAGCATTGTGTACGCGCGACCGACAAAAAGGGAGATATTCTGTTTCTTTTTTCTACTGATATGGCGCCCTTATCGACTTTTAGAAGTAAACATATTAGGGCCATCGTAAAAAAAGATCGTCAGACACTGGCTCTAAATATAAGCAGGTAGAAAGTTTAGCTTCCAGTTATTTCAATGTTTACAATATTAACGAAGAATCTACAACAGTAATTACTTCTATTTTTATGAACGTTTAAGTTACTTTCTTAATTTTTTTTTCAAAATAATGTACCTAGTAGAAATATAGTCTAATGAACCCTGTTTGAAAAACGTTAAATTAAATATCATATTTAAAATACAGTTGTCCTCCTTGTACATGACTACAATACAACTAAAAAAACTAATTTAATAAAAAAAAACAAGTGGTTGTAGAAAAACTTTAAATATTTTTTTTTTTTATTTTTTAAACATCGAAACTCAAAGGTATAATATCAGGTATCATACCAACTATAAATAGAGTAGGTATGTCATATAAAAATGTTTTGACTTTTTACTAGAATCGACCCTTGATAAAAAAAAAGGATTAGATTTAAGTTTACCTTTGATCCAGTCTGTATACTATTTCTTTGGATTTTCTGCACGTGTGCAACAACTACACTAAAACACTATATCTTACAGAAAATAAAATATTGTGTCTTGAATTTGAGGGATATTCATCTGAAAAATTATTAATTTGGAAGAAAACCGGCAACAAGCGGCAGAAAATAATAATATTTCCGTGCAGTCTTCTGGTCGCAACGACCAACGGACGGCCAGGACGTTAGTGTGCGCTATATCATTTGATATAAAGGTTTTAGAGGTAGCTGCGGCCTGGCCGGTGCGACCTGGTCGTCAGTGTGTTTGAGCCCTTAAATGTAAGGTTTCGCATGAGAGGTTCCATGTTATTAAAGTGTATATAAAAACAATCTTTCGACATTCTAAAAGACTTACAGAATTTGGTTTTATCATCTATTAATTACTTAAAAAGCGTACTGAATGTAGTACAGCTATCATTCCTCGTCTGTAAAATTACTCATTCTGCAAATTTTCAGTGATAGCCACTACAAATAACTCGATCGGACGACAATTCTTGACTGAAACTGGTAGCTGTCACAGATATCAAGAGAACGAGACTGTGTGGTGACTGACTGGTGTGAATAAACTGTAAGTCCGCATTTTCGTGCTTTAAAAAACAAATTTAAAATTTTTCATTTCCAACGATCACTTGTGATTATGTAATGTTTTGTTAACATAAAATAATATATGGGGTGTAAATAAAAATAAGTACGAAGAATTTAGAAAGTCGTAATTGTTTTTTTTTTTTAGTTTCTTTTATTTTGACATTTCTCTACAAAGTTATTTGATTATACGTACAGGCTGTACAAAAAAGTTACAGTGTACATCTCACTTTAAGCTATTCACGACAGCTGTTCACTAGGGAAACAGTGTAGTGTAAAGTATAAAGCTTCTTTCAGAACCACGAAATTAGTGGAATATAGCAATAGTTTCAATTAGCGTAGAAGTTTGTTCATCTAATTTCAATGTAAGCATTCAAAATGTTAAAATTAGTGGTAGTAATTTGCAATTAGTAGAAAAAGTTAACAAACACCTAACTTTTTTTCATTAATTATACTTCAAAATTTGCAAGTAACGTTATTTTGGCCTTAGATTATTATCATCCGTCAGAGAAATTGTAGTTAGAAATATAAAATTTATTGTTTTATACACAAAACCTTTTGCAGAGTTCTATTGATTTTAATTTTATTTTTAGGCATTGTGAATGATCATAAACTCTTAGATATAAAGTGCTTAGAATTGAAACCACTAATTTATTCTACTAAATTCGAGGTTCTGAATGAGACTTAATACAAAAAAAAGTTCAGTAATTAAAAAACGTTACATCAGTCTCATAATCACTAAATATTATGAGACGCCTACGGTTTTTTACAAATTTCACGTGCAGTTCAAATAAAATTACAACACAGATATTTTTCCTTGTTAACTACTCTAACTACAAAACAGACTATTATAAGCTAAAAAGTTTTTTTTTAATCGAACATTTAGTAAAACACTACAACACAGTTGTTTAAACACCCTGTATGTCTCAAAATATACTAACTAAATAATACTGTTGCGGACCCGTGTGGACTCGGCATAACCTAACTAGCTAAACTAAAATGTCCCGCCCCATATGACCTTAATATAGCATTAAAGAATAGACACCGTAATGATTCATTCGAACGTTCGAGAACAATCGAGCTCCACTGGAATGGAGTAGTACATACGAGAACATTCAAAACCTCCTCTATGCACCTAATGATCTATGGATTATTCGAGAACTCTTTAGCTGTGGGTATAAAAGCCGACGGCTGGGGCCTGAAGAGGACATAAATAAATAGACGAGATGAGGGAGACAGTTGCCGCGCTAAATTCAAAATAAATTCTATCTAGATAGTTATAAATAGTTTGTATATAGTTCTTTAAGTCTTTTAATCGTTATTGTTTGTTACTTAGTGTAAATAAATTGTGTTTAAATAAATTGTGACTTTCTATCCACACGGAACCGACGAAAAACGTAACAATACTAAACGATTTTGCATAGAAACGTCAAACCAAAAAATAATATACAAAAACCATAACCTTTTTTCTAAAAAACAATCACTTCCTGATTTTTTTCGCTCTTATTCATCTACACACCCTGTATAACACAGAAAGCGTTTACTTCAAAACACCAAATATGTTAGTGGATAGCGAAAATAAGGTACTTATCTGCATCTTTAGTAACAAAAAATATATTTACCCAGCATGGTAACTAAAAATAAAAATAAAAAATATGTTTAAAAATATGGTTAATGCGGAAAATATGGAGAAAAAGTAAAAAAAAAGATTTTCTCTATGCTTGGAGAATTTTTATTGCTAAATATCTACTGAGAAGTAAAATTTATTGTCGTATTAGTTACAACAAATCAGAAAAAAAAAATATTAATAAAAATGCACTAGAATACTTACTATGAGGCGTCTATGAAGTAGATTACCAAGGAGGCTATGCTCAGTATGAACACCAAAACCACCTAAAAAGATATATGAATTAAAAAAAAATTGTAGACAGCCAGAATTTACATAACCTAAATATTGTTTAATTTCTTATATCTAAAATACAAAGCAATAAACGGAAAATTGACTTTATTTATGAATTCGTAGAAACCTGCTTGTATATTTATAAAAAGATGCATTTTAATATACATTGTCATTAAATGTCTTGCGTGTATTGAAATATATTTTAAATTGCTTATTTATTGATTGGATTCCTTTTATTGCAAAGTAGAATATTTTCAGAATTGGTAATATAATCGATAGTAACATAGAAAATTTTTCGAAGGTTGCTGTGATATAACTTTATTTTTCCAGATTTTTTACATTTTTATATTTTTGTTTGTTTTTGTAGCGTTATTCAGAGAAGATTACTCTAAATTTAGTCGGTGTCATAATATTTTTTTAGGGATATTATTTTTATAAGACAAATAAGTTTAATTTGAATGTGGTAGACAATGATTCAAGTTATATGTATAAATAAGTGTTATTTCATTGTAATTAAATACTGAATGCCTATTTTACATTATGTCACATATAAAAGCGAACTGCACGGTTCAAAGCCGACTTTTCACTCTCTGTACTTTGTCGAGAACGTTTGTAACAATAAAATCGTTTTTTAAAAACAACTCTGTTAATTCAGACCTCAAAACTTTCAGTATTAAAACTAAAAGAATTTCGTACTTCCATTGTCTTTATTTATTTTGCTTCATAGTTTTGCTTACACAACGTTTCTGTCAGGAAGTACACACATGGCCAAAATTATTGCATATAACGATATTTTTATTTTGTTTTAGACCTAATATGATTCTTTTTTTACTTTTGGACATATTGGCTAACAAAACGACTAACTATACAATATAAAATTAAAAACTTAAGTGCAACTAGGCTGTTATTATAATTTTATTTCATAATGAGTGAAAATCAACAAAAACAAATTTCATTTTAAACAGAAAATATTGAAAACAATTTTAATTATTTCTCACAACTAATAGTCTGTATTGCCTCCTCGAGCCTCAATGCGACCTGTGAGACGACGTGGCATGCTGACAATTAAGTTGTCCAGAAGATGTTGAGGAATGGCTTCCAATGTTTCGCGCGCAGCAATTTTCAATTCATTTAAGGTACGGGGGGGATCATTCCTTTTGGCAATTTGGTGTTTTAGCATGTCCCAAGCGTGCTCGATCACATTCATATCTGGAGACATCGGTGGCCACCACAGTTTTCCTTATACCCTCTTCCTCACAAAATTCGCGAACCGCTAAAGTGCGATGGGGAGGAGCATTATCGTCCATGTAAACAAATTCATCCCTCACTGCCCCTCGAAATGGATGCACAATAGGCTCTAAAACGTCTCTAAAATATGAGGCACCTGTCATTGTGCCATCAATAAAAACAAGAGGAGTTCGAGCTCCGTGCATTATACCTGCCCATACCATAATGCTTCCCCTTTGAAACGGAACACGGGATTCAGCTGCATTCAAGCGTGCTCGTCTTCCAGATGCTCTCCAGACCAAAATTCGTCGCGATTCTGACACTAAGCCTATTCTTGTTTCATCACTAAACATGACGAAGTTCCAATTAGGTCTATATCCTCAGCCCATTGTAGTCGCGTAATTTTGTGCTGTATATTAAGTTTCGGAACACGTAGAGGCCTCCTTAAATGTAATCCTCTGTCATGGAGTCTTCTTGCTATGGTTTTTTTTAAACATTTGCTCCTTCAAGGCGAGCTAACTCATTTTTAATAGCAGTACTAGAAAGCAGGGGATTGCGTCGTACAATTAGGGATATTTGACGGTCTTGCACACCAATAGCAACTCTCTTTCTACCTCTTCCAGGCCGGTCTGTAACTTCGTTTGTCTCCCTGAATTTTTTTAATATTCGCGAAACATCGCTTTGGTTAACTCCTAGAATTTCAGCTATTGCAACTTGCCGGTAGCCCTGTTGAGACAGCGTTACTATTCTGACTCTATTAAACTGTGAAATAATGTTTCTAGGCATTTTAAGGCCAAAACAATGGTCAAATTTCTTTTGAAACCCAAGAAACCACAAATCGAAATGTGCAAGAATTTGTAAAAATATTGGGTCTGAACGATAAACATTATTTAACATATCCATTTTAACAAAAAAATGTTTATTACAGATTATCAAAGCTATGTATAAAAAAAAGATTCTTTATATTCCTTTCCGTATATTTTTAAACGATATATGCAATAATTTTGGCCATGTGTGTATTACTGAACGAAACCTTGTGTCAGTAAAATAAATAAAGACAATGGAGGTCCGAAATTCTTTTAGTTGGGTTAGGTTAGGTTAGGTTATAAAGTAACGCTGGAAAACCGGTACGGACCCGATATCAGCGATAAATTCCGAGGTAATGAAAAGAGCAATGTTAACTAGACTAGAGTAATCCCACATTTCTACAAACATAATTCCCAGTGGCTTCTATCAAGTAGCTAGAGTTTTGTCCATGAAGCTAGCGTATATTGGACAACGGCAGTCGAGCACCAATGCGATCATAAATTAATTACCATAGATGGAAAAAATCAGTTCTGCTCTTTGAATAAGAAGACTAAGGAAGGAGCATATCAAAAATCTTAGGTCCACCGCGATGGGACTCAAATATGGCCGACTTAAATTCCGGTTTATCAGTGCTGATCTAATTTTATTTAAGAAATGTAAAACTATGATGTAGGGTAGACGTGGGGTAGACTCAATATTTTTTTTTTATTTTACGTTGTGAATAAATGTTGGTAGTTATTAATATTGTTATAAAAACATATTATTATAATCAAAATAGATAAGTTTTAATAATTATTTATTAACACAAACATCCGATACGCTACTGAAGCAGGTAAGTCAAATTAACGTATCTAAATTCTTTGACATCTAATCTTTGACAAGTAATAAATAAAAGCTAAAATGCAAGAAAAATATATAATTTAGTTAATTTAAGTGAATTTCATAAATGATCGGTTTACTACACGTATGTATATTATATAGTCACTTACTAGCGAAAAGTTGTTCCATTATTTCACTCAAGTTTTGCGAGATCTACCGCACGCTACACAACCAACTATTTTAGAGTCTTTTTCGATAAATCGCGATAGTGTCACTGTTAATTTAAGTTCTGCCACAATTTCCATCTAGATTTACTACCTTTATACAACTATCAGTAGTAGAATAAATAATAAATAACATAAAATAAGCTCCGTAAAGACTGACAAATCCACAAAATTTCAAATCAAATTCAAATGTGTCAAATGAATCGTCAAACAGAACTGTCAAGAATCCCCACCCTAGAGTGCTTTTTCCGCCCACCATGCATGAATACATGGATAGCATTATGCTCCTTCCTTAGTCTTCTTATTCAAAGGTTCTGCTGAATGACATCCAACAGTGGTTTGAAGAACTAAAAGTAACTTGGGAAGAAGACCATAAACCTATATTGGATAAAATTGACAGGATATGTTTTTGAATTAAAAAAGACCTACAGAAGACTCACGAAAGAATACTCAGAAGACCATACCGTTTAAGAGAAAATTTAAAAAATCATGAAAATATGGTTAAATTTTTTGTCCTAATAATCAAAAAGCGTTTCTATGGTAATATAATTTCGATTTTATTCTTGAATAGGTGGCTGTTATTAATTTTGAATAACGTCATATCTTTTGCTGTTGTTAAAGTATCACGTTTTTCGATAACTATTACACTCTTTTCCTAGCGTGAAACTAAATAAATTTTAGGCTTCTTTAATATTTTAAAACAGCAAAAAATATGACGCTAATTAAGATTCTATCAACAAAAATCTACCAAAGAATGAAAACGAAATTATATTACCATAGAAATGCCTTTTGGTTTTTAGAAAAAAAAATTCAACAATATATTCATGTTTTTTTTAATTTTTTCCAAAACGGTATGGAAATTTGGAAAAGTATAAACGGGATAAACCATTTCAGAATAAGCAAACATTTTTTATGAAAAATTCATTTTCCTCAAAATGTCAATAATAAAAAAGTTTTTTTTCTGTTTTAAAGACAATCCGGGGACATACTGTATATAATAATGAATTGGCCGTTATTTTCGTCTGGAAATTTTGATTTGTCTCCCTAAGAAGTAAAATAGAGTATTAAAGCTGGTCTTTTTATAATTTCCCAGAGTAGTAAACAATTTTGAATATAACCACTGTAAAATATTAATTAAGATATTTTAACGTGTAATTTTCTTGTTAGACTATCAATTTGCATACAGATTATTCTCCAGATTGAAAACAAAATGTATATAAAGCGTAACGAAGTGCCGGGAGTATAGTCGTTCGCTCTAAACAAATTATTTTAATTAAAATCCGTTCGTGGTGTAATTAAGCACCTGAAAATAGGCAACCTTTGCCGTTTCAGCACCTTAATTAACCGGTTCGAGGTTTATTCTGGAATCCGCCGCCCCCTCCCAGCCCCGCTGACAAAAACAACGCTATACAAAACACCATTAAAGCAGTGGCGGTACGTTTGAGAGATGGCTAGTTTTTGAGAAAAAAAAATAAGAAATTAAAATTGTCATCATTATTTCTATTTATTTCAAAAAAACATTCTTCGCAGATTTCATAGATTTGAAATTCTCCTTCTTGCTTTTCTACTTATTTGTGATCTGTGAATCTATTAGATGTCTCAGTATAGGCAAAGTTTACAGAATATAGGCCTGATGCATTTCAATCGATTTGAATGAACGACGGAAATCAGAACTGTGCGTCTAACGCACACTATTTCACGCTGTCTTGGTTATCGTTCATGTTGATCGCATGGAAATAATATTGGAATTATTCGTATTCGTATTCACTAAGAGTGGGTTCCATGGACCGGAGATCCTATTGTGGCTCAGTTTCTACAAGCTCTTTAATAGAAAAAGAGCATTAAAGTTCACCCTCAAGATCTAGCATTATAACATAGCCTGTTATGTCCGAGGGTGGTATGTCTCCTAGGTCTGA